GCATAAGATCCACGGCAGACTGTTTAAGGTAAAAAGGTATGGGGGTTAGGCGAACTGACAACAGGATCGGGTAGGGTCTTCTACACATTTAATCTTCTATTGCTGAAATCGTTTTTCCTGCAATCAAGATTAGAACGGATTACATTTAGTTTGTGTGTATGAATAGCCCTTGCGTTATTATAAGTAGTTATTAACAGGTAGGATGTTATGGCAGATTATCTTGTGCACTAAGCTCAGGTCGGAATGTAGACAGCATAGTTCAAGATTATCCAGGCCTAAAATTTCAAGCCTGGTGGTATATGGAATTTTATGACGAGCAGAGGAGTTGAGTACTCTCCTTGCGAAATACCTCTGGACCCTCTCTAATGTTTTAATGTCCGAAATGCAGCGTAGGTTCCAGGCAAGTGAGCAGTATTCAAATACAAGTCTGGCAAAGATTTTGTATGCCCTAGTTAGCAGCATAGCATTACCAAAGAGAAAACTACGTAAAATAAGGTGGACAACTCATATATGTAGATGTGTATTTGTGTGTGTGTGTGTATTTATATTCCATGGTGCCCACACCATGCTGCAACTATGTTGCCCACCCATGTCTGCCCAACATGCCCAATGTGGCAGAACATTTCGTACCCATAGAGGCCTTACCATTCACCTACGGATACAATGGTGGACAGCCGTTGGATGAATATCATCATAGTTCATAGTTGATGTTCTGATAGGCCATTTAAGCCATTCTGTCTTAGAAAATGTTGTCCCTCTGGAGATTCCTGAGATTTTTACTCCATGCCTCAACAGTAGTAGAGATAGTTTAAGCAAGTGTACCTAATCTATAGTGTCTAGTTTGGACACCAACATCGTGACCAATAGGAAACCAATGACTCAATTTTGAAGAGCTATTTCCAGTCGTCAATTCCCCCCTTTAATAACTATGAGCTTTATTCCTGTCAAGTCTTCAGTTGCTTATCGGTTTTTGATGGCACGAATGCTGAATGCTAAAATGAGTTTCTCTAATTTGCAGAATTTCTTTGGTCCTGAGTTCGTAAAAACTACCATTGAACCCTTTACTTCCTTGGACCTGCCAAAATCAATTTTGGTAAGACCTTTGTTGTATATCAAATATCTATGTATAATCTATATGCTACTTATCAGTAAGTAGCATATAGCAATGATCTGATGGTATGTGAGGTGATGATCTTTAAGGTTGTTTTTTTCCTCCTATAAAATCCTTCCTATACTCTTAATAGGGACGTGGTGGCTCAGTGGCTAAGACCCTGAGCTTGTCAATCAGAAAGTTTGGCAGTTCGGATCATTAGCGCCATGTAGCGGAGTGAACTCCCATTACTTGTCCCAGCTTCTGCCAAGCTAGCAGTTCGAAGGCACGTAAAAATGCAAGTAGAAAAATAGGAACCACCGTTGGTGGGAAGGTAACAGCGTTCTGTGTGCCTTTGGCATTTAGTCATGACCACGGCGATGTCTTTGGACAGTGCTGGTTCTTCGGCTTTGAAACGGAGATGAGCACCGTCCCAGGGGTGGGTTATTACTGCCAGTTTGGTGCGTGCGCAATTTTGCCAGTTCCGGTGACTCAGGCCAGAAAACCACTACTGGTTCAGCCAAACCGGTCTGAACCGGTAGGAACCCACCTCTGCACTGCCCCCTAGAGTCAGGAATGACTAGCACATATGTGCAAGGGGAACCTTTACCTTTATACTTTTAATCTGCTTGATTTCTCTTAGTGGATTCTTTGCTCTCTTTTTTTAAGACAATCATTGTTTTAACTTTCTCTGAATTTTAATACTCCACATGCTATATTTATCTGATAAGTTGTGTGACAATCACCATGAGCGTTCAACACCACCGCTAAAGATTGGGAAGTTTGGCTTGTCTATCATATTGTCCAATTCAGATAACGCCCTTCCCTTGCCTTCCTTCTTTCAATTCTATTTATTCTATTAAAACTACTTCATGAGGATGATATTATCTTGTGCTGGGTTACAACTTTTGGTTTCATTTCTGACTACATAACTGACCCTTCATTCCCAGTGTCAGAATTTTCCACTTTATGTAGATTAATGTCTTCTTTGACATTGTTAACAATGCAAGGAGATGCTGTTTTTTTTAATGGGGGGGGGCAGCTCTCTTTGTAGGAGATCATTAGATTATCAGCCTGTAGTCTTGCAAACACTGTACGGCAATACATTTTTTTAAAAAAAACATCTGAAGTTTAGGTCTATGTCGCTCCAACATAACTAGCTTGCTTTATACATCGTTTTTTTAGTACTTTGAAGTTATTGGAATTTGGAAGTTCTTAATGGTGTTTCTATAATGCAGATGATCTATGTGGTTACAGCTTTCCTTTCATCAAGCATTCTGTCTTAGCAGCAGCTATGTGGTACATTTTTTATAGATTATGTTTTCTGACAGCAAAGTAACTGAAATAGAGAAGTGATATCATTTAGTTGAACATTTAGTATTTGAGTAGCTGACAGTGCCTTGGTTATGTCCTCCTGCATATATTTAAAAAAAGGAATGTGGCAAGCAAAACTGCATATAATCCTGGTTGATACGAATTCCACATTGCAGTGGAATTCGTATCAACCAGGAATTCGTATCTCTGCGCGCAATTTCATTTTCAAAAAATAAAATGGACATTCCCTTTACTTTCCATTTCCTCTGCCATATTAGAAAAGTGGATTTTTTTTTTAAGCTTTGGATAATTTATGGTGCTGTGTCAGGGGTAGGCTGCTAAGTGTTTGCCCGGGTTCAGGAGAACCCGTAGCTAACGTTATGGCCAGTTCAGAGAACTTCCAAATCCCACCCCTGGCTGGCCCCTCCCACCCTGCCTCGCCCCTCCCACCCACTCCTCCCCTCCCAGAAGTCTCCACGTGACCCATTTTGGATGTGAGGTAAGTGCAAGGCCGCACAGAGCCTCGGAGAGAGGGGAAAACGGGCCTCGCGGAAGTTCCGGAAGGCCAAAAATTGGCCTGTTTCCGGCTTCCTTAGGGCTTCCGGAGCCTGGGTGAAGCAGTTTTCACCCTCCCAGAGGCTTTTGGAAAGCCTCCGGAGCTTAAGGAGGGTGGAAATGTGCCTCCCGCCCCCACCATAGTGCAGGAGGCCGAGTAGGCCACACCCACCATGTCCACATCCACCCACCCAGCAACCGGGCAGAGAACCCGTTGCTGAAATTTTTGAAGCCGACCCCTGTGCTGTGTATGCAGTTTTGTGTCATGGTTGATATTCTGGGTTTGTTTTTTTAAATCAGAACAAGAAAGGGAAGAATGAAGACAATCGCCGGAAAGTCAACATCATGCTTTTAAGTGGCCAAAGACTAGAACTGACTTGTGATACTAAGACCCTATGCAAAGATGTATTTGATATGGTGGTCGCCCATATTGGTTTAATGGAGCATCACTTGTTTGGATTGGCTTCTTTAAAAGGTGAGAAAAATATTGCATTTGCTCTGGATGTTTTTCCTTTGATATCAGATGGTAACTGTCGTGTTTGAATAAGTCATTACTGACCACAAAAATAAATTCCATATTTTTTGGGGGAAAACAGACTATCCTTTATGACAGAGAGATGCAAATTCATTTGTCTCTCTAAATTTATTTCCCATATTAGAGACAGCTGGTTTGAATTGAAACAGATTTGTAGAGAAAGGGGAATAACGATGCCATTTTCTTAATTAGAAATCCCCTGCTATTTGTACTCATAGCAAAAACATGCATGCCCATGATACCATTCAATTAATATTTTCAGAAGAATTTTAAGTGGGAAAAATGAAAGGGCTTGGAAGGATTATTTTTTTCCTTCTTTGCCCCCATGTGAAGTCTGGCACGATTTCCTGATCCAGAAAGGTAAATGTGGAATGAATATTATATAACCTAGAACTAAGGAGAAATTTCCTGACGGTTAGAACAATTGAATCAGTGGAACAAATTGCCTCCAGAAGTTGGAAATGCTCCAGTACTGGAGGTTTTTAAGAAGAGATTGGACAACCATTCATCTGAAATGGTATAGGGTTTCCTGCCTGAGCAGGGGGTTGGACTAGAAGACCTCCAAGGTCCCTTTCAACTATTCTGCTCCTGTTCTGTTCTAGTCTATCAGTGATGGCTAACCTTTTTCTCCTCATGTGCTGAAATCAAGCGCATGCCCACACCCATAATACAATGTGCCCCGCCCCACTGTGCATGCACGTGAACCCTCCTCCTTCCCCACGCATGCATGTCAACCCCCCCCCGCCCCACCCCATTTTGGACCTAGCAAGCCTCCCTGAAGCCTCCTGGGACCAAAAATGGTCTGCAGGGGGGCGCCACACCCCACCCTGCTTCCCCCACCCCCCACGCATGCGCGCAGTTAAATTCCTCTGATAGAAACTGATTTCCTTCTGTTGAACAAATAGAATCCCATGTTTGGGAGACTGTGGATATATCACCAAAGCAGACCAACTGAAGTGCAATGTTTTATGAATGTTCTATGTTGATTTGCCTTTTGATGACAGAAAACGAGTATTTCTTCATCGATCCAGAGCTGAAGCTAACTAAAGTAGCCCCTGATGGCTGGAAAGAAGAATCCAAGAAAAGGAACAAAAACACAGTAAATTTCATCTTGTACTTCCGGATTAAGTTCTTTGTGGATGACATTAGTCTGATTCAGTGAGTATATTTGGGTCATGTTTTAAAACCATTCTTCTCCCATGTCCGTGTTTTACTGGGGAAGTCAACATGCTCCCAAGTAGTCTTTGCTTTTCTACAAGTCACATACAATCATGACAACCCTCTTCTACTTTCTATTCCTTAGCTCTGGAGCCGCATGTGGCTCTTTCATCCCTCTGCTGCGGCTCCCTGTTGCTCAAAATATGTATCAAAACCACCAACGTGCGACACCCACCGGCTTGCAGTTTATTGATCTTTTAGACCCCCGGTATGCCAACCATGGATAAATCCAAGAAAAGAAAAGTTTCAGAAGAAAACAGAATATTTAATTCAAACTACGTATGCTAGTTTTGTGGCCGCACAGGAAATAGTCAGCACAGGGATGATTTTGTGGTTCCTGGTGTTTTCTTCTCTGTGGGAAATGGGTGATTGTTTATGGTTGCTGACCCTGCCTTAGTGGGATAGAAGGGTAAAGGTAAGAAAGGGATGATCCCAACCTGCTATTCTGTTAACAATATCCTGACTGTCAGGAATTCCATTCTAGTATGTGCATGAATTCCATACAGGCAATAGTGGTGGAATAGCTAAATATTTCTCTTCCAGCCCAATGTATTTTCA